AAGTCTTAACTGCAGAACTTTCCAGAATTACTCTGTATAAGTGTCTCAGCCAACAGTATCAGGCAGTTTGTCTGAGCCTACTCTTAGTCATTTAACAGTTTGCATTCACTGATTTGTGCATAAAGTTGAGATCTTGCTGTCATAATTGCTGAACAGCGTGTGTTTTAATGTGAAGTAAATTTCATTGGCTGTGTCCAGATTCACCTTTACCAAGCACACCACGTACATTTAATGTTCCCGTGTTTAAGGTTTTCCCTCATTTAATGTTCAATTTCAGTGGTTCAAGTCAATAATTTAAACGTTAACCTTTCCCCATTTAAGATATTCCTCAGCCTTCAAAGTCATTGGTCTCCCAAGATAAATGGGAGTTTCACTGTTTCTTAAGTATACAAGAAGTGGCATGATGCAGGATCTATCTGTGGTAGAGAAACGCATGACCAAAGCATCAGAAACTTTCTGACATCCAAACTGTATTCTGAGATCTGAGAAGGCAGCTTTGTTGATTGTTACGAGATATTGGCGTCTGAGCATCTGTTCAAGGGTTCCACAGCAGTTCTGAACGGTCAATGTCTTCAACCTGCAGATCCAGTTTTGAGAATGTGTGTTGGATGAAACCTGGTTTAATCTTAGCGGTTATTTCGTCTCTCAGAATTATATAACCATGAAGTTTGTGTGTGCTCCATTTACTGTGGGAATGGGGGTACATAAGTCAGTGATATAGACGTTATGTCATCATTAGAATCGTCTCTGAGAATTAGATAACCAGAAAGTTTGTGTGTGCTCGATCTACTGTGGGAATGGGGGTACATCATAAGTCAGTGATGTCATCATTAGAAAGTGGATTCTATTTTCACTTCACTTGTATTCATATGCCATTGGGAAATTAAAATATACTCAGGACTTTTGTTCTATATTGTTGCCTACGAAAAGTATGAAGTACTTTGGTTAATAGAGTAGCTGGGCTTTGTGATATGCTGTAAATGCTAAAAGTATTGTATGATGCATATTTTATGACAGTTAATGTAGAGTGGTATATTTTGGAGCCCTGCTTTGAGAAATAACCACAAAAGAAAGGCTTCATATTTTCAATGGGACATCACTATTATCCTCACAGAATTTCAATGTTGCCTCTGTATATTGAAGGAATAATCAGTCATTAGAGGACTGTGGCAAGGAGAAACTTGAAGCATATGAAATCCACATGTTTGGAGGCTTTATGGATCAAATTCTAATTGTTATTCAAGAAATGGTGGGAAGTAAACTTCAGCATGTATCATGTTACATGTTATGTTTGTGTGAAATATAACTGGTTATTGGAAGACACCATTTTTAGCAGCTGCTGTTATATCAGGTAAGTAAATTGGTTTTATTTAAAACTTGTCGAGTATGTATGGAACCTTCAATTAAATTTCATTATGAGAGAACCTTCTCATCATCCAGTGTGTTGATCTATGGGCAGGCAATGTACGAGTGTATACAATACGCGTATCATAGTGTTGGATTTATGATTCCTGTAGCGGTGACTATGGGCTATAACCCTGTGCAATCCAGTAGATGTCTCTTGATGTTTCAGAGGAATGTAAGACTTCTGTCTTCAGATTTAAAGAGTAAGCCAATCAGATCTGCAACAAGCACACTTCAAGTTCTACTGGACCACAAATTCTGAACCTTGACTGCATTTAAATTCACAGTCAGATAGTCACCGCCGTGAAAGCCTCAAATCTTACACAGTACCAAATCTATTTCACAACAAAATTTAAATATGACATTGTCAAATAAATCACAAGAAAAACAGTTTAGGTTGTAAGATGTTTTGTCCCAATGTCAAAAGCACAAAAAAGGAAGTGTACATGAGTATGTATGAAGAATACCACCTTCTGGGATGTGGTGCCATGTAGATCTTGTGTGAATTGTCGTTTCAGAAGAATATATCTCCTGCATCTTCTAAAGTATCGGTTCACACAAGATCTACAGGGCACCACATCCCAGAAGACAGTATTTTTCATAGTCATTGCTGTGAAAACCTCAAATCTTACATGAACATGTACACATGTATGTGTATGAGCTGAGTGAAGGTGACACAAGATGAGAAGTGGCTGAATTTCGCAGTTTGGTTGAGGTGCTAAGTATAGTTTAAATTTTGAACATTGTCCCAAATATTTAAGACATGAGCCTAGAATAGGTATTATATATTACTTATGAAAGAATGATTTTTTTCTGATCAAATCACCATGAATCTTCTTATTGCAGCAATTATATATACAAGTACAGGGTGTGGCACAGAGACTTCCTTTTTGTGAAGACGCATTGTGCAGGGAGGGGAGGTCGCAGAAAAGTGGGGTTAGGCTCGGTGAACGCAGCAGTCGAAGTTTCTGTCTAATACCCCTCAGTAGGAAACATGAGGGGGACGAGTGAGCAGCGTGTTTGCTGTCGAAGCCTATTTTTTGAACAACCATTCCTACATGGCTGTGCAGTGTGCGTTCCGTACTCACTTTGGAATTAAGCCCACAGGTCCGGTTCCTGACCGGAGATCGATTGTTTTGTGGGTAGAGAACTTTAGGACAACCGGGAATGGTGAAAAAATCATCAGGACGACAACGGACCGTTACATCGCCAGAAAATGTGGAGGCAGTTCAACAGTCGATTTTGAGATCTTTTTCGAACCAGCTCTTGAAGAAATGCATCTAGAAAATGTCTGGTTCCAACAGGATGGTGCCACGGCCCACACAGCCCGAGCTTCGATGACAGTTTTGAGGGCAAAGTTCCCCGGACGGCTCATCTCGCTTCGAGGTGACATCCCGTGGGCAGAGCACTCACCTGATGTAACATGCTGTGATTTTTTTTGGGGGATACCTCAAGGGAGAGGTTTTTAAACATCGCCCCACAAACCTACTTCAGCTGAAGAATGTTATTCGGCAGGAAGTAGCCCAAATTCCGGTGCAGAGGGGAACTTCAGAAAACGGTTGCATCAGTGCATAGAGAACGGTGGCCACCACCTTCAAGATATTTTGTTTAAAACTACATGATTTAAAACTTTAAAGTATGTTCTTTCATTAGCTAAACATAAATTTTGTCTCTCAGCAATAATTTTTCTTTTATTCACCTTCAAAAAAAGGAGGGTTCTGCGCCTCACTCTGTAGTTTGAGGAACAGTGTTCCATTACATCTGAAACATCAAGCTCAGGGCAACATCCTTACCTAGCACTCTCTTAAAAGTTTTCTTCGAATCCAAGCACTGGAGTTACAGAGTCCTGATATAGATTTTGATTAATCATTTTCTTTTCTCTATGAATGATCTTTAACCTCTGTCTCCTTTTGTTGCCTTGTTTTCTTTGGCAGGATCATTTTAATATTTGTTTTAATTTTCAGTGAATGATTATTGTAGGAAGAGCAGTGAGCAGGTAACCAGATATGAACTATTATATTATTTTGATGATTATGTTAACATACCAGATTCTCAGCTTGCATTGCAAGAACATGTGTGGTGAGAATGTGTCATAAATTAATTTGGAAAAAAGTGGGATATATTATTAAACATTTGATTGATGAACATGTTTACGGCTGAGAATGTAAGTTGTTTTATGCGTATTGTGATGTATCGACTCACTATTATGCAACAGATCGATAAACACGTTCCTTTGGAGAGATTTTGGGTGAACAGCCCATTGCTAGGTAAAACCTACAACAGAGCACGATGATGAATACAAGAGTCAGATAATTTCCATACTATGCAATGCGCTATAAATACAACAGTAGAGGAAGATGCGTTTTCTATGTGGTTCGCATATATGCATTACAGAACAGATGTGTTTTCTATGGATCCGCCGTGACACCATGTAAGCGACCATGCAGATGAAAATGAATACAATCCTGTGTGGAGGTGGCGTCAGATACCTCCACTGTGGCACAGCGAGTCGTAGGAGGTGACGAAAAAGTGAAGTCTCTGATCTAAGTAAAATATGTTCACGAGTACCGCGGGACTCGAGAATGACTGCGCTGGCGAAGGCCAGCAGCAACTATAAATGACAGACCCGTCCTCTCATCAGAGAGAGTGCCCCACATCAAGAAACCCGCAAATATCACAGTGATAAAAATCTGGTCGTAAGCCCAAGATTGGTGTTTTATTCCAACACAGACTGGCCGACTGACCGTCGGTCGTAACACAAAGACTCAGGACAAATTCATTTGTAAACACGTGACAACTCGTAAATCAACAAGAGTCGCAATAGAAAGGAGAACCAAAAACTAATTCATCCGTAAAGTGACTCCGCACCAAATCAGGCAAAGTACAAGTCAGAAGCCAGGGGACGACAGTAAAAGATAATCTTCGTTTAAGTCAGTCGTGGTTCAGACAGGAATAGCTCAGATCAGAATTGAGCTGAAGACGCATTGTGAGTTCATGTAACTGTTTGTGATAAGAGTGATTGTAAAAGGAGTTAATAGATCAAATCACCCAATCCAGAACCCCTTAATTTTAATCACGGAACCCCCAACGTGACAATATAAAAATAATTGTGCTTATTTGTGTATATTTTACTTCTAATCAGCCATCTGTTTCTTAACAATAGATATATTAAAAATTTGAGTTTTATAAAATTTTAGTTACCCCAAATTTTTTGGACTGGTGCAAAGCAAGTTGTTGTGTGGGGGATTAATTGCGGGGATCCTGACCCCATCTTGTCAATCAGCCAAACCGGACATCTTTTCTACCCCTCCTTCCGCGGATCCATACGCCTCAAGGGATAAAGGAAAGGCGGGGGAGGGAGGTTAAGGAAGGGCGCAACGCACATGAAGATCATTGAATGTACATGTGTCGTACAAGTTTTCAGTTAAATTTTACATAATACTCCATCCAGCCCATCACTCAACGCGGGGGCGTGTCTGAAATATTTTCTTGGGGGGGAAAAAATAATAAAAACATGTTTTATATATTGTTTGAAAAATCCCGCCAGTACCCAAGTGAATCGATAGGTAGCGCTTTCAGTTGTTGACTCAATGCAAAATGGCGTCACTTAATGTGAAAGGCGAGACATTGTTCAAAATATTTTTAAAATAACTACTGTTTGTGCCAATACTAGCGTATAATTTTTTCTTGCTCTTGTGTTTCAAGACATTAGCTATCAAATGATATACATCAACTACAGTATGTAAGTAAATTTTCTGTGTCTTAATCAGAAGTCCAACTGTCTTCAAGACGTAGCCTATCGAGCTGAAGCCATATTTATGATGTTATCTAAGGACCTGGCTTCATAAGAAATGAAGTGTTTTGTTCTCAGGTTTGTTCTTCTATCGAAGTAAATTCACATTGGTTAGTGTTTACTTCAAGATTAATTTGTATTTCTTTTTCTCGTTCCTGTATTACAGCACCTAGCCTACTTGAAACTTAACAGGGGTAAGCGAGGCCGCGTATGGATTAGGCCAGGCCATGGCAGGTGAGGTAGGCAAGACTTACGAACTAGGCGGCTTGCCTAGGATATTATATGACATCAAGTTCTTCAAACTGTTGGCTTCTGAAACCTGCGGTGCTTTATTTTTGCATGAAAGGTGCATCAGTTTATGATAATTGCGTGTTAAAAACATTCTAACTTGTTAAAGAAAATAAGATTGACCCATTTTCTCCCAAACCTGCAACTGACCATTGGCTTCCACCTAACCATTATGTTTCAGTCACCTCCAAAACCATTCAGAGACTTTTGCTGACTAAATTTTATGTTAATAAAAAGAAATAGGGTTATAGCCAGGGGTTTATGTTTACTGTATACATATTTATTTTTTTTACATATGTCTTATGTTTTTTGTGTGTGAAGTATAACATGTTTATATTATGCATGTTGGGTTTTTAGAATTATTTGAGGAATGTATGTTTATTTTTGTAGGAAGTCAGTAATAGTGTAATTATTGTTTTTTCATTCCTTCATACCTTGGCTAAAGCTCTTGTTACCTCTTTGGATTAGTGGCTTTTTCTCGTAGAATCTATTTACATATACATAATCTACTCCTTCCAAAGACTGGGAATCCTGGCTTAAGCCCTATTTCTTCATTCACAGGTGAAGATGGATTTGGGTGAAAGTTCAGGCTGTCGATCAATGTGCCATCAGTTAAATGGTGTGATTTTTGAAGTATTGCAGTTAAAGTTGTGAGATATCTATGCAAAGAACTGTGGCAAGAAGACATAGTTGTGAATAAACTAGTGAATGCCATTATTCTGCTACTTTGCCTTAATCAAAATGTTGTGAAGAACTGTGAAGGCTGGGACATAGAACTCTCAGTAAAATTTGTTGCACGTAGTTGTCCATTCTTAAAGACTGGCACAGCTAGGTAATGGATCCGGTGGGGCCATGGTCAGCGTACGCCGCTTCTTATAACCGTCTGGCTGGCGCAACGGGCGGTTTCCAGTCCGGGTCTGCAGGAGGGGCGGGTGATTTTGTCACCTCCCATCACCACCTAGCAGCAGCCACGGGGAACTCGGGTCTAGGAAGCCACCAGCCGGGCGGTGGTGTGCCATCCACAACATCTCAGCTGCTACTTCAAGCAGCGCACACCACTGCTAGCTTGGCTGGCCAGCTTGGGATGTCAGCCGCTGGACCTGGCACCACCGCTTCACCTTTTAATCCCGGTGGATTCCTTTCTCCTCCTCCTGTGGGCTATGATGCAGTCTTTTCTCCATTGTTTCACCATGCGAACCCCAAGCCTGCCCACTATCCCTCCACACTGAATGTGAGTCAGCATAGACAAGCCCTGGCACAGGCTCAGGCTGCCGCTACAAAGCAGAGCTCAGTGGAATCAGAACTGTCCAGTTTACGTGAGAACTACAGTACGGCGCATCACCAAAGCCTGGCTGCAACAGGTAGCTCATTCTTCGAACACCAGGCATCATCATCCTCTCCATCTTCATCTCTGGCATGGTCACATCAAGGCAACACGCAACTTCCAAGTCCTTTTGGAATCTTACCACATGAGACTGTTGTGACCTCATCCCCTGGACCAGCAACATCTAAGTCTGGTACATCAGCATATGAAAATACCTTCAATGCTCATTTTGCAGCTGCCCAGAGCCTGAACCATCTGAACTCTCAGCTCACAGCTGCAGCGGAATACAATAAAAGCTCTGGCAGCTATGGTGATAACCCCAGTAAGAAAGCCAGCCGGGCTCAGTCACCACTCGTAACGCCAGTGAAACCAGTGGCATCTGCAGCTTCCAATGTTCCTGCAAGTGGAACCCCATTTTTTCACCAGGCTTCAACAAGCACATCTTTTGCTGGCTCTGAATCACTTACATCACGTGGTGATTGCTCATCTCTTTCTGGGAACTTCTCAGGCAGTAACAAGTCACAGCAGCAACAGCAACAACAAATTTCTTCTGGTTCAGAATTTCCTAGTGGAAGCAAATCCTTTGGTAATAGCCCCTCAAGCTCTCTTCACCACCAGCAGTCATGCATTGTCTCAACTGCTTCTTCTACTGCTGCGTCATCCAAGGATTATCGTATACCCCAGCCTCCCTCACGATCAGCCTCTTCTTCACTTTTCCTAAATGCTGCTTCCACATCGTCTCGGTCATCATCCCAAACTGCTGAAAAACAGTCCTCTAGGAACCAGAACTTCGTCCCTCCAACTAGTAAGGCCTCAGCACATCACACCATTCAAACTAAGGCACAAACTAAAATATATCCTGAGTTAGCATCTTCATCTGAGCATTCTCGTCGGAGTGAGAGCACACTAGAATCTAGTCAATCTTCCCCGATTAGTTTTGCCATGATGGATGCAACTGCTCATCGCCAAGGACTAAATTATTCTGGTAATGCAGCTGCTGGTGGAACATGTTCATCTGGTTCTGGGTCTTCTTCAAAAATGGCCTCCAACCCTCAGCGTAGCAATACAAGTTCAAACCTTCAGCAGTCTCAGTTCCAGCATGTCTTGAATCAGCAGGCTGCTGCAAACTCTTCTTACCATGCTCGCCATTATTCTGGTTCAGTTTCAACAGCAGATTCATCAGAATATCATCATGGTGGCCGATCTAAGGCATCTGGATCCACAGACTCTACATATTCAGAGCGACTACTCGCTTCTAATAATTCTTCTTCCCAAAATGGGCCAGACTGTGGTGTTGTTGTTCCGCGAAGGCCTAGTCCTTTACAGGCCCATTCTCAGGCCAGCCCACTGGGTCATGTTCCCAGTCCGGCTTATCCCATGTACAATAGCCCCATGGCATCTATGTCATCACCTTCACCTCTGCAGCAGCATTCTGAATCAGCTGGGAATCAGTGTCCAAGTGGAGGAGCACCAAGACATAGTAATCCCCCATCACAGCAGCAACAGCAACAGGTTGCTCCTCCCTCTCCTTTGGATGTTACTGTTCCACGACCATCTTCACAAGGAGGACAAGTTGCTTATCCATCGGTCATTACTCGTGCCCTCTCTGGTGAAGGAGGTAATAAATCATATGGTGGTGAAGGAAGGTCTTTTGAACGATCCCAACAGCAGCAGCAGCAACAACAGCAGCAGCAACAGCAGCAACAACAGCAGCAACAACAACAACAACAACAGCAGCAGCAGCAACAACAGCAGCAGCAGCAAGAATTTTCACAGAAACAGCAGAGTTGTTGGGAAACTGGAGACAGTAGACAGCAGGCTCACCATTCTCGAGCAGCAAATAAGTTTCAGACCTCTTCAGGCTATGGAGCAGGAGGAATGGAGATGTCACAGCAAGTACCTGCACAGCAACAACAGCAGCAGGCACAACAGAGAGCTGCATTAGGCATCTCAGAACGGCAGCAAGCATACTTTGACTCAAGTCCAGGACACCAGGTGACACTTCAAGACCTTAGTAGCTGCCGTGGAGACCCAATGAGTATTGTGAAAAATTTGCAGACCTTACAGCAGCAGTCATGTCAACTTCAGGCAAATGCTGAGCAGCCAAAATCTGCACCTGAAGAGCGGCTACAGAGTTCTAAAAGTGGTGGTGGGGGTGGTGGTAGTAGTGGTGGTAGTGGTAGCAGCAGCAGCGGCGGAAAGCGTAGGAAAAGTTCAGAGAAAAGTCATGCAGGTGCTGCAGCTCTCAATGATCTAGCAGGTACTGCAATGGCTGAATATTTCACAGGCCGTGTTCCCCCACCTGCACATCACAATACCAACCAGCAGCAGCAAAATGGCGGGTTTTTTGATTTTGAACGTTGGAACCTCCCACCACCACCGCCCAAGATGTTTGGTGGTGGTCCAGGTGCTTTTGGTTCTCAGTCTCCACTGCATCATGGCGGAAACTTTGTGGGCAGTCCTGCTCATCAGCACCAGTCTCTGATGGTCCCTCATCCCCATCACCACCCTCCACCCCCACTTCCTTATTTTCCAGCATTTCAGTTACACCCTGGGCATCACCCTCATCATCCTCCACATGAGTACCAGCCCTCAGTTGAAATTGCACCGCTTCCCTTTGAGAATACTTCCTCTGGAAACAATTCATTTGCTGCAGGACAAGAAACACGTGATGACCAACCCAAAGTTATTGTGCCCAATATAGAAGAAGAATTGGGTTTCTTAGCAGAGGCAGACGCAGCTCCCACAGCTACTACTACAACTACTACTACAAGTACAACAAACCCTGCTGGTTCAACAGTTGTGTCTCCAATGGAAACAAAGATGCCAGAGAAGAAGTCTTTGCCATCGACAAACCCATCCTCAGGGTTCATGGCTAGCTACATGAAGTTCCTTCAGGGTGAGAGAGATTCGTCACCGCCACCTGCAAATCGTGGAGGGAGAAAAGCTACTTGGTCCAGGGCCAAAGTTTACCAGCCTGAACCTGCCAAGTCTACAGCAACAGCCACAACAGTGGCAACAACTTCTGCTGTCACTACCACTACAGCAACACTGGATTCAGGGACCACTGCATCATCTAATTGTAATGCCACACCTACAACACCTACAAACTCTGTGTCTGCTTCGGAGAAGGCAAAGGAAATTACAACTACGAAGAGCAAAGAAGTTTCCAGCAGGGTGTATGATCCCGAAGATGATCCTAGGTACTTTCCATTACCCAAATCTGATGCCAAGAGGAAAAGTTTTGCTGATTCAGATGGGGATTTTGATTCGAGTGATGGAGAGAAGGAAAAAATAATAGAGAAAGAGAAGCCAAAACCGAAAGAGAAAGAGAAAGAAAAGGAGAAGGAGAAAGAAGAACCTAAACAGGTGACAAAGCCATCCTCAAAGCAATCTAAAGTCTCACAGAAGACAGCTGCTCCACCAGTGGCACCGCAAGTGGAATCTGTTACCAGGAAAACAGTTGAAAGGGCAGAGAAGACAGAAAAAGGGAAGAAAGGCCGCGGAACAAAATCTGGTGGCGGACAGACTGCTAGCAAGAGGAAACATGACCAGGAAGAAGGTTCGTTCATTGATTTTCATTTTAGAAACTGGGACAGGTGGTAACATTTCACTTGCTTGTTCACATTACCATTAAGTTTCCATTTCATTATAACTTGCACAGATTTGCTTGGTAGTTTTAGTTGTCTCTAAATGTTGGGTGCCCTACTGGAAAAATCTTCTGAAGGTTTTGTAAGGTCTAACCAATCTCTTGCATGGTCTCTTACAACCTTGATGATTTATGTAATTTTGAGATACTTTAATAGGGTCATGGTGCAATTTCTTCTTGGAACGAGTTGCAGTCTTGGGGGTGCTACCAGGAATTTGTACATTTTGAGCTTGTGAAGTTCATAAAAGCAAATAGGTCTGTATTTAAAGAGAATATCTTGAATATTATGTATGAATTTTTGCAGTATTATGGTACCTAACTATTAACAACCTTTTTTTGTCCCAAGTAAAATGTAATCTGTGTAAAATAGAATTCTGTGGACAAGAAAGAAACTGTTTATCATTACATTTGCACTTTCAGTTACAATTTTATGTGAAAATAATTTGTTGTAAACTTGACAGTTTGTAGGGATTTACCTAATGAGATTATAGTCTATTTTCATTCAGCCATTGTTTCTTCTGAAACATTGGTATCTTGTGTGTCCAGAAGTGGGATATTTACTTTTGTTCTCAGTTCTTTTAACTGGGAACAGGAATTGTTATTTGTTCTTTCTACAGTTTGCACCAGCGAGATTAAATTTACTTGTTGTAAATATTTTGTATCATAGTTTACTCACTGAATAAAACACAATATATTATGCGATTTTATTGTAGAATTTCTTAGTAATTTCAAATGAAATTGTGTGGTAAAAATCAGTACCCTGGTAGCACCCCTTGAATATTTCTTGACTCTTGGTATGTCTTAGGAAGTCATTTATGTATAACATTCCCAGCATTTCCAGTCTCTCTATTTGTGTTTACAGTATACACATATTTTTATTTGTTGCATTTTATCTCAGGAGATTTCAGTTGCCAGTGTCAAAATGCATTTGGAAAGATTTTTCACATAAAACCCATTATGTGGCTCATATGAATTATAATTTTATGATTGCTGTGATTTTGAGAACACCGGTACATTCCTGATGATCCATGCCCGAATTATCCAGCGTGCAGCCCTCCACAGTGCCTGTTAAGTTCACTTTAGTCTGTCCAACTATCTGTATGCATGAAACAACTGGAGACCCACAGAACACCTGTCCAAGAAATTTAATATTGCAGAATTTTACAAAAAAAAAAAAGCAATCAAGATAGTTTAATTTTCATTTATATCGTTAATTTCTTTAACAGTCACTTTGTATGAAGATTTACATTTGTTTCTCTGGGTCTTAAGCATAAAGTCATGTTTATGTTCAGTACATGTTTTTCATAAGTTATACAGTTTTCAAGTAAGTTTACTAAATCAGACATTGCACATATATTTCTATATTGAGCAGTCCCAAATATCTTGGACTATTTGATTTCCAGTTATTTGTCCATGTTTCCTACTTCATTAGTGTGGATAGTTACAGAGTATACCATGTTTTCACAATGGATGGAATAAAACAAACTAATACGTATTTTACCAAGCAGGTTGGTATAGCAGAAATGTTTGAAACTTGTATTCTGGATGCACCTGGTTAGAATCGTGGACGAAGTTAATGGCTGTCCCTTAATATTGTCAGACTTGAAATAGGCCATGGTCACATCAATCCATATCGTTGCTGCTTGACATTAATGACTATTTTCCTCTTTGATTCAGTGCTGTGTATTCTGTTTCACCAAAACAGCCTTTTTGAACAAGCTAAAATAATCAGTCAGCCATTATTTCGTATCAGGTTCAGGGTTTCTTAGTATGTGATGTTTCACTCATTTAAGGTATCCTCAGTCAGAGCCCCCCCCCCCAGCTTAAAACCTGTCTCTCTCGTGTTAATGTTCCCAGTTATAATATATATAATATAATGAGTTATATATAATGAGTCTCTGTCTCAGTCATATGTATGTAGGTGGTACATTGTTTTCTTTCTTCCCTTTATAAGGGTAATTTTAACCCCCATTTAAGATTTTTCTCAGTAATTTTCAAATTCATTTGCCTTCCTTCAAAACTTAAAGCGTGAATAGTTCTTGGCAAAAGAGAAGCTGAATTGGGGACAGTTGATAATATTTGTAGTTGATGTTGACATGGCAGTGTAGTGGAATCTAACTATCACAAACTGTCTTTGGCAGAAATTAGCTTAGAAGTGCCATTTAGGGTAGATATTTTGGGATGAAACATTAATCTGTTCTGATGTATGTAATGTGAGATTTAGTTCAGTATTTGCAAAGGTATTCAGAGAGTTTGATAGGTAAAGCTGAATTATTGCGTTCTTATAGAAGGTAGTGCAAAATATTCAAGAACTGCAATTGAGAGTAAATAAGATGAACGTAATGGGCCATTCCTGAGTTGCCATTGGTGCATTTTGTCTTTCTGCTCTACTTACAAAGGACGAACATGAAGATTTAGCACATTTTTCTTTGTTAAGGAAAGAGAGAGGCATCAGAGAGCACCTTTGTCATCTTTTGAACCAGTTGATTTTCACAAAATTTTGTGTGAGTGTTATGCCAGAGGAGGCCACTCTCAGTTCTTGATTCTTCCTACAATTTGTAAGAACAATGTGGTGGATGCAAAAGCTTGTGAGGTGGAGGAGCCACATAATGTAGAACCCTGAAATAATGCCTGGTAATATGTAGGTCTTTGAAAAATATGTACATTTTGTTAAGGCAGCCTTTTGTTGAATGGAAAACCAGATGGCATCCCTGTGAAAAATTTCATTTCCTTTCATTTTGACATCATTAATTAAAGGTCTTATTGACCTAGGAATATGAACTTTTTTTGTATGAAGATAGTTGAAGCAGACACTGAATTCTTATGATTGAATGTTGGGTTCAGTCTTGGGCGAGTCACTTCATATGATATTTTTGGTGGGTGAAATGGCAGTGAAGCTGGGGTTTCTCAAAGTTCATTTTCCCCAGTTAATGAGTCATCAGAATGGAAGATCCCCAAGTACCAGAAACGATACCCAACACTAAACTGGAAAGCAGGCATGGAGTCCCAAGTTGAGATGACCTAGAGGCTGACATGAAAACTGTTGGTATTGTGGCATGCCGCCAGAAAGCCGGAATGGTTGAGGAGATCAGAGTTGATTTCCCGGGCAAAGACCAGTATTCCCACGACAGCGGCTAGGAAGCAGAGTGCTACCAATTCCTAACAGTGGAGTTCCCACTATTATATGCAAACTGTTGAAGCAATGTTTCCATAGCAGCGAGCAGAATGAACCTCAGGTTTCTTGTCCACTGAGGTCGGCTTTTTCTCTTCCAGCCAGGCCATCATTTTTGCCTGTTTGGGCCAGCAAACCTTGGGTGGTTTTTGTATTTGCCTCCCCCTTTTCTTTCATGGCCTTCCGCATTTTCAGTATTTGTTCCATGTCTTCAATCTAATCCAATCACTTCTTACAACAGATGTGGTTTGCTTCCTTGTGATCTTGGTCCAATAACTTTTTTCCCCGAATCCGAACCATGTCACTTCTAACACCAGTTGTCTTGTGTTGCCTATGTAACGCGACAGTAATTCACACGGGTTTTGGATTTGGCTACTATGTTCATTGGACACTCACTTTTACACTTACAAATTATTCACAATCACAATTACAGACTACTCTTCTAAGGCCAAATGCAAACTGAACTTGTCTCTTGTTGCAGTTGGACTCTTTATAACTTCCACGCGGACTCAATAAGGAATACCTTGTTGAAGTGTTCGTTCCGGTCACTGCTAGCAAAACGTTGCTTCAACAATTTGTGTGTAACAGTGGAAACTCCACTGTTAGGAATTGCTTGGGTTCTGCTTCTTAGCCTCTGTCATGGGAATGTTGGTCATTGCCTGGGAAATCAACTCTTATCTCATAACCATTCTGGCCACAGTATAAAAAGATGGAGACTGAAAGCTCAGTACAGGACAAGATAGGAAAGAATGGACAATAATTGTAAGGGAGGCTAAGGCTAAACTAATAGGGCCAAGAAGTCAGAGGAAGAAGAAGGAAGTAGAATGATTGCACTTTTGTGCCGTACTCATCTCTCACTGACTCTGAAGCAGCATGTTCCTCAGAAACATCTGTGTCCTACAAGACTACATGGCATCAAAACCCATAAGACCACAATTTGAACAGTCACTTCCATGAAAATGTCAAAACTTCCATATCACATATTGATAGCAAATTCCTACCTATACTAACTGACCTGTGAATGGAAAAAAATATATAGTGTGTCTGGATGCAAGGTATCCAAAATAAAGTCATTATATCTCAGAAATAATTTATTATAGATATTAATAAAATGGAAACTATCAAAGTTTTTTTCTGCATATATTAACTTTCTCAGTAAATATAAATGTGGGCTCCCTTGATGGCACAACAAATATCCAGGCTTGAAGAATGTTTGGTGTTACTGTAGCCACAATGTCCCTTATGTAAACTTTCAGGTGTTGAAGTTGATCTTAACCTAGTAGACAATCTTCTTCACATAACCCCAGAAGAAAAGATCCACTGTGGTTAAATCTGGCGACCTAGGAGGTCAAGCGATTGGTCCACCTCTACCAATTCATATCCCAGCCATCTCTCTGTCCAGGTGATTCCTAACATGGTGGTAAAAGTGTGGCGGCATATGCGAGTAAGCCAAGTATGAAAAAGAAACTTTCAGAGTTTTCCTTTCTGATGATATAAACCGGATACCTGTATGACAATTAGTTTCCCAGATATACATTTTTTATTTTGGATACCTTTCATCCGGACACCCTTCATTAATATTTGGTAATGATCACACATTAAAAATTATTATGCCATCCTTTGATGCGGTTCTGTTGACCAGGACATTTATACAGTATAAATTTATATTTTGTTGCGATGTTTAGGAATGCTTTCTGAAAGATAATCGGCAAAATTGTCTCAGCTGATAAGCCATGTCAGT